GACTGTGCACAGAGAAGTTGAGGGTGTTTTCGTCATTTGAAGGAACTTGGACAATGCTATTTGGGGTGTTGAGGTACTCCGACGCCTTGTCCCAGATACACGCCAGAACAGTTACAGGAATATGTTTCAAGCTAGAATATGAAACGGGCAAAGGTGAAGATGAAGCTGCCATTGCTTGAGCTCCTGATCCAGAACTAACTTCTGTGTTCAAAACTTTATTTAGATGCTGCTGCTTTTGATGGTAGCTCATTTCATGTACCCATTTTGCCTCTGGAACTTGGAGAAATGAAAATTCTTTTTTAAATCTGTATTTTCCTTTTCTCACCACTGCCCTTAACTGCTCCTGCCGTTGACCTTCTGCTAAAGCTTTAGAAAGAGCTATGAATTCCGGAAGTGTCATTTCCTCGTAGTTAGCAGCTTCCTTCAAAACATGATTTATGCTTTCAGAACTATTAGTTGTGATGGAATTTTCTGTCAGACCAGCCTTCTTCATTGCTCCTGCACAAAGGGACTCTTTCATCATTGTGGCATGCTTTACTAACCAAGGATGGAATTCCGCGGTTTGGGCTTGAGGTCTCAACTGTAATTCCTTTTGGTTTCTTTCTGCTTGAAGCGATAAAAGCAAAGCATCAAAAAGTTCATCATCTGAGCAATCCAACAGCCCTTCATGATGCACACCATCTAWAGTTGTTCCAAATATGCTGTCCAGGAAGTACTTTTGATCATCCCCTTTTATCCCAAGAGATTTCAGTTTATCAATGCAGTTGTCTCTGAAGTGCCTGCGACATCTCAATAGTGGAGTTCCAGGATAAAATACTTTCAAAGCATTAATGAGTGCTGAATCTCCATCCGTCACTACGGCCTTCAAATCAATACAGCCATTATCAACTTCCTTGAGTTTGGATGAGTCAAATGGCAAAAAGCACTATATCCCTTCTTTACGTGTATAAGCGTTGGACCTATAAACGTTGGCGATTTTCCATCTCTTTCATTTTCAAAGATGAGACTTTTATAAGCTGTCGGTGTTACATAGAACTCTCCCAGATTGAACGTGGTATCGATACTTAAGGCATCGAAAAGCACATCATTCGAGCAAAATCTTGACATGTCGTGGAATTGGTACGGAAGTCCAACCAAGCACATAGGTTCAGGTAACGCAGTAACACCGTGAATGAATTTCTCTTCTTCATTCTGTTGTTCGTTCACAGACATTATCATGAGACTATACAATTTATCTCTTGAACACAAGAGACTACTTGGGATTCCATTTTTTTCGTTTTCTTGATTTTTGACTGACCAGTGCGCATGTTGTATAATTGACTCATGTCCCTTGGTAGTTCAGAGCTGCTTTTTACATTCATCAAATTGGTTTCCTTGGAAAGAGTCCTCATCGCTTTTGATGGCTTCTGATTACCGGCCGTTGTTTTGATCTTCTCCTTTGTTGTTTTGTTAACAGGAAGAAAAGGTACAGCTTTGTCTTTTTTATTTCCATGGGCAAGTACTTTAAATGTTCTCTCCTGTCCTTTGACAAAGCGATACTGTAAAATGGCTAGGCCAGAGTTAACAGCATTAGAGGATTCATCCACAAAGGTAACAACTTGATGGAAGTCTTCACAAGCAGCATTTTTTCTGTACGTTCTCTTGATAATAACGTACTCTTTGGCAGGATCTCGTTCTTCGGCTTTCAGTTTGCCCTTCTTGACGAACCTCTTGATTAAGCCACCACTTTCATCTCTACGGACTTCGAACACCCACGTGTGAGTTCCATTGTGTTTATATGTGCCATTGTCATCTRATGAAAGATCCTGTATCTTTACTGAAGAAGTACTTATCAAGAAAACAGCATTTTCTTGGACATGGAGGGRTTGATGTACACAAATGTAATCTTTGGAATGCTCCATTGACAGAATAGTCATGCAGTCATCAAGTGATATGTCTGGAAGCTTTCCTTTGAAGTACAAGGGCTGATTATTATCACTTTTAAAACATGTTGGTGGTACACTTTCATCTGGTATCCAGGTCTCAGTTTCCCTTGGGAAGAAAAAAAAATTATTATAAAATTTAAAATCTATGTATAAAAACGATAATAAATATGGGATCGGAAATTGTGAAAGAAGCAACATAATATATCTAACAGAAAAAACAGTGCTTTTAAACAAAACACTGCATAAAAAAACCTAAAAATGAAAAAAAAAATATTCAAACTGAAACCGTATCTTACCAAAACCCATCTAAATGCCAGCAATAGTTAAAATGCATAATTAATATTTTTATTGACTCTGTAATGACATCGACAAGAATTGATATTTTTTTAGCATTTTAGTGTGAGACCATGTAAACTAATCAAGCTGCCAATAGCAACATAATTGTACTGTCATATAATCTAATTATAGTAGATTTTGCAAAATGATATCTTTGCTGTGATAAATAAAATCCAAAAATCAAAATAATTTTATGTCATTTACATTTACATTTTTTTCCTGCTGTGAAATGTGCCAGCAAAGTTCATATATATGAACCTGCAACCCTGAACCTGCAACCCTGGTTCAGATATACTTTTGGTTTTGTGTCACTGACCAAAAGAAAATNTTATTTAATTCAAATTCAAAAAGTGAGATTTGTGATAATGAGCTGCAAACGTCTTACCTCTGGTAAGATTTCTACAATCAACCATAACAGCTTTCATATTACTCAGGTTATCATAATCAAGGTATCGTGATTTTCCACATTCATCGATACTTTGTTCTGTACCATAGCAATAAACTAAATATGGATACGCTGGTCGATGGGTGGGTTCAAAAGAAGTACAGTCTGGTGACACTGCTTTWCTGTAATTCAGAGCTCGGCAAACAACAAAACTGTTCCTTAAAGACCAATAGCATGGTGATGAATTCCTTCCTTCAACCCATAAAGTCCTCCATGTTCCGTTAAAGAATGTCTGTACAATGCCATCATGGCTAGTTTTACCATCAACTAGACGTAATTCACCTTGGGTCTCTAAGAAGACAGAAATCTTCTTAAGTTATAAGCCATAGACTATGGCCATGTTGAGGGCATGACTTATATTGTATTGACAACAACTGATGAAATGATGTTTTGTTAGAAACAGCAATAGCTACATGATTTAAGATGTGGTAAGCCATCCTAATCATGTACACATTGAAATATTTTGGACATATATATTAAGAATAATAGAGTGGATGGACTTGATCTGTGAAAACCTTCATTGTGTAGTTCCAGAAAATATCCATACCATACGACGGGCGGCATTTTGGAAATCCAGAGGGGAGGGGGGGTCATCGATTTTGGAATTCCAAAGCGGAGGGAGGCTGAACGATTTCAGAAATCCAAAGGAAGGTGGACTTATAGACAAAATTATGCAAAATTATAGAAAACGATCAGGRCAAAAACATCTAAAACTGTATGAATTGAAAGCAACACAGCTTATTTTCGAGTCATTTTAACATAGTTTAAAGCATCCGTGGGTCAGTGATSGGTGATTGTAAACAACATGTGGTCAGCATCTCGCGTAGTTCATTTTTTATTTCTTATGAATCTAATTTGTTTGAACATTACTTGTTAATAGAACTATACAAGTTAAATTAAGATTAGTAATTCCAACAGCAATGATTTTTGCGTGTTTTTTAATATAAGCACTTCCACAAAGCTAGACAATGCATTATTGTTTTCAAACGATCAGTTTTACGATTGTGTTCTCTAAAACAGTGATTGTTTTGGAGAGAATATTTATTCTCATTCATTTCCAAGGGGTCAAACCAATTTCCTAGGGGGGTAAAACATGGTTTTGGAATTCCCAAGGGGAGGGGGTACCCAATTTTGGAATTTCCTAAGGAGAGAGGGGTTGAAAATCGATGCTGCCCGTTGTATGGTACGGATATTTTCTGGAACTACCCACTGATTAAAATACAGTTAGTTACAGTGCAACAACTCTAACCAAGGTGACCTCAACAAATTTATTCAACKATGTTCTATTGGCTTTAAAACAATATGATTTTTTTCAAAATACAAATTAAATACTTGTAATCCTAAAGAAAAGCTTGTTTGAAGAATACATATCTAAAAATTTTATTATTAGAATGATGGAGCCTCACAAAATAATTTTCGGAAAATTTAGTTTGTGTGGCCTTTGTTAGAGTATCGGACTGTAAATAGTAAATAAAGAAATTATGATTAAAATTAGCAATTTTTTTTTAACAGGATACATGTGTGGTGTGTACTAATACTACCTTTTGACAAATATAAGCCATACAGCAGACCCCCAATGAAATACATAGGCAGTTCCATTATATATTTTTCTGTGGAATGATAATAAATTTTTCGAWTAAAATTCCCATAAGAGTGGATTTTTGAGGATTGGCATATAATAGTAAAATATATTTAACAAATAATTGCACACTGTTTTTGAGATCTCCTCATATTCACAGATGCAATTCTAGCATCATAGAATCCCGAAAACCAAAGAGGATTNTGATATCTTTGCTGTGATAAATAAAATCCAAAAATCAAAATAATTTTATGTCATTTACATTTACATTTTTTTCCTGCTGTGAAATGTGCCAGCAAAGTTCATATATATGAACCTGCAACCCTGAACCTGCAACCCTGGTTCAGATATACTTTTGGTTTTGTGTCACTGACCAAAAGAAAATGCAGGCTCAGGTAAAAGATTGGGTTGGACTGTGTTAAATAATGCTCAATTGTTTTCCTATTTTAGGTTATTCTTGAAAAATCTTAAATATACCCATAATTACTGTTTGGTCTGAGATTCTGCTACAATTTGCTCTCCACATTCATTGAGATAAAGTGGAGAAAAAAATAAGCAATTACTAGTAAGAACACTTAATTATTAAAATATCACTACTTTTAAAATAATTATTAAAATTAATTAATTATTTATTTTGATAATTATTTTATGTATAAGCTGATTATTTTATTATTCTATTTATTTCAATTATTAAAATATCACTACTTTTTCATCACTATTTTTGTAAGAATGGGTTGATTGAAATATTTACCTCCGCAACCTTTTCTTGGCAGGAGATTCTGGAGGGGTCTTTATACTAGTAAATAACAAAACAAAACAATGAATACCTCATCTGCATGCCTCCAAATTAAAACTASGGCTACTGGCATCRATTTAAATATTAGTWATGTTCTACACTGCAAAACAATGTACCAAAATATATGCACTTTGTTCACTGCTTTAATTTTAATTATTGAGCAGTCACCATAAAAGTATAAATTAAGAACAAAGAAAATTGTTGCTAAAGGTTTGTTGTAAAATAAATTGAGCTCTTTTACAATATATTATTACTCGGTTTAAAATAAAACCACGAAGAAGCCATGATAACATAATGTTCTTCTCCTGGTATTTCTCATATCATATATGCAGTCAAATAATTAAGAAATTATGCATCTATCTGAATTATTTATATACCTTGCTAGACTGTCAATATCTTCTCTGGAATCTTCAAGTGGATAATCTTTTTCACTAATCATAGAAAATCAGATAAAACTGTTACATATACATATACAATCATATACAATCAAATAATAAGAAATTCTGCATCTATCTGTATTATATATAGAGTATATACCTTGCTAGACTGTCAATGTCTTCTCTGGAATCTTCAAGTGGATAATCTTTTTCACTAATCATAGAAAGTGATCAGATAAAACTGTTACAAAACGTTGGGGAAAAAATTAATAAACAGAAACACAGAGCCATGTCAGACAAAAGTAATTGTAGCTTTGACTTCTTTTCTTTACTGGTGACTCCATTTGTTCAAACGTTTTACAGAGTTCTTTCAGTACACTAAAACAAATACAGTAATAAATRCATTTAAATTAAAYAATAATAAAAATTACAACAACAAAACAKCAAAAGCAACAATAATATTAACAACAAAAATCACCTTTTCTGTCCATCATGATCACTGAGATCATCATCTTCATCATCATCAATGTCAAGTATTTCGATAATAGGTACTTTATTCTTATTGCTAAATAGAGAAAAATATAAATCACTAATATGRTAGCAACATGGAACATTTTCTTTKATACTATCCAGCAATAAATAAACACACAAACCAAATAAATAAGTACATGGAAATCACAATGATAACAATTCTGAGAATTTAARCAATTACCTTTCATCATGATCTTGTTCATCATCATCAATTAGGACTACTTCAGTCTTAGTGCTGGATAGAAAACACTAATTTGATCAAAAAATCACCAACTCCCCTCCCCTAAACCATGCCTAAACCCTTATCATATAAAGCAGCTCCTTTTTGAGGAATTTGAAGCAAATTTCATYTTGATATTAAAGTGGATAAATTTAGACCTGTAGTCCTTTCATAGTGTCAATAAATAAGTCTATATTACGTGGACAGCCTCTAAACATGAGCTGTGTATAAGCATTTACTAGAATCATATATACTTTCATGTAAGAATGGACTGAAATCAAGCATCGAAAAGCACAAGAAAGGTGAATTTACCGGCGTTGGCGCGAAAGATTGTTATTATGCCGCATYAAATATATCTTATTTTCGCTGTTAAGACGGAATTAATTATCCAAATAACGTGGTAATTGAAATTTTCAGTTATATATCTTAAGGGATAACTAAYAATTACGTTATTTCATCCATTCTGATTTAATTTGAAGTTCTGACAGCTACTGTGTCACATGGAAGCACAAGCAATCGCATGTGTACAAACCTGTCTTTCTGTACGTTTCTTTTCTGKGTTTTTTTCTTCAAACTAAAAAAGAGATTTATTTAAAAGCTGAGGTCAAACTTACATGGTTTAAGTCAGTAATTAAAGCAAACACTTTTTACCTGGCGTTTAAAGATGCTCTAAACGATGCCATCCCGTCTTGATCAACACACGGACCACGTGTTGAGCCCAAGGTAAAACAACAAAGGAAGCCCAGAAGCAATAATTTCAATATGAGGCCGTCGGATCTAACTTATAACACTACCACTTTTTGATAATAATAAGAATACTTTATTTCTTATATAGCCCATTTCCAAAATATACAAAAAAGTATATAATGCTGTTGTTCCGGTAGTTCCTGGTTTTCCGGTTGTTCCGGCGTTCCGGATTCTGGCATTCCGGGGTTTACAAACACCCATCGCTGAGTTTCGACGTGCTTGAAATACTCCAATTTCGAGTTCTGGTTTGCTCTGTGTTAGCCTCAAAACTAAGTAACATATTCTTTTGTTTCACTGATAGCTCGAAAAAACGTATGGAATTTGTGAAGAAAGACAATAAATTTGAAGAAATCTCACACTTTTACGAATATTTTGCGCACAAATGAGGCTAACATAGAGCATTGGAGAATTCGAAACTGGAGTATTTAGCTGCAAYTCACGGCGATTTTTCCATCGCCGCGACAATCGCAGSGCTGTATTACACRTACRATTTGAGATGCACGAGAACCCCGGACGAGAACAAATTGGCGATTATCGCGCGACAATATGCGCTAGACTTTTTAGGAAAACAGGGCTGCGAGGAATGATCAGCGTTGAATTCGAAGCTTTCAAATGATGTTATCCCAACCGATCCACCGCCAGCTTTTACTGACACTCCATACTTACCGTACTTTATTTTGAAGGAACTATATTGCGAAGCAGACTTTCCAAAAACAACACCGCATCACGACGGGAAGTGAATAAAAATCTTTACGAGCCTCCGGTTCTCAAGAMCAGCGCTCAAACAAATAAGTGAGGTAGGTATTTCATGTCGTGCACTTTTTGCATCCCCTGGTATGGGTCTGTTTTCTAAACTGTTATTGTACGAATATTTTACTGGGAAAAGGATTTTGAACCCAATATGTGTAAAAACTAATTGTGAATAATTAAAATTGAAGCTTTTTTGCAAAGACTTTGGGATTTTTTGTGTGACCATGTGTGTGGTTTTAGCAGACAGAAATATGTCTTGGATAACATCTCAAAACGCTGAAAATGACATTTCTGGAAAGTTAAGATTTCACAATTTTAGCACCCCCAAACAAATTCCCACTCCGCGGTCCCTGGTATTCCTTGCCTGGAGAGTTCTTTTTTTCTTGAATTTGTTGCTGGTAAACAGTTGTGCCTTACAGCTGGCTGGGACATAAGAAACAGATACACATTTCTCCCAGGAACCTGTCGGCTCCTCTGCTCTTGCTATCCGTAGCTATCAAATGTTTCACTCCATGGTATGCTAGTGCTCCCATGGTATCCAAGTATATTCCATGGTATCCTTGTGCATCCCTTGGTACCCTAGTGCATCCC